TTGGCATTGATTATGACAGCAACTGGTGATTTTAAGAAGACTGAGCACGAGACAATAGTTTAGCACAATAGCACAAGTCAAGACGACCTGCAGAGCGTTTATGTATTGCTTCATGGAGCAGCATCTGGATTTAAATGTGTTCTTGCACACAGTGCCCTACCAGTTCACTCAGGGCAGGACCCAGGGTGGAAACCATCGTCCTCTCCGAGAGTGGGCTTGGATAGGAAGACAAAGCGGGTATTGGTTCGGCCTGGCTTCCTGGGCAGAAGGCAAGCAGGTTCACGCCTCCCACTGACCGACCAGGCTCCGTGCTGTCTCCTCTACAGCGCGTCTCCCTGTGGCCTGCCCTCCAGGTCCTGGGGTGTGAGTCGTCCTGCCCTGGGTCCTTGCTTCCACTGGGTCCCCTGGGTCTCCTTGGCCGTGACCTTGCCCCTGGGTGTTCTGCCTCAGGCCTGATGGCTTTCCCATAGCTGGGACCTTCCCTGGCTGGGAAACCTCTCCAGACCCACCCCTGGCACCATGGCGATCTGCCCCCAGCTTGCGTCAGCTGGGTGGGGAGCAGGCATGAAGCCAGGTGGCCTGTGTGAAGAGCACACGCGTACGGTGCAGGTGCCCACAGAGGAAAGCAGGCCAAGCCCGACTTCCAAGTAAGCACTGCCAGGCACCAAATGGAGCCTCGCAGAGCAGTGGTCGGAAGACGGGAGTTATTACAAGTATGCGGCTGGCTCACCCAAGGCTTACGGAGCAGGGCGCATGTGAGAGCAGCCAGGCCAGGACAGGTGGCCAGCCAGGACATGCACAGGTTCGGCTCTGAGAGCCAGGTGGGCCAGCCAGAGCTGGGAGGGTGGTCACCTGCAGTGGGCACAGGGATGGAGGCCTGTGGGCCCAGGCCAGGGCGATCAGGATCTCCAGGAATCTCTGGGCTGTGTAAAGGGGAAGACAAAGGAGCAGAAAGAGTAGAGTGTTTACCAGGTCGGGGAGGGAGAGGGACGTGCCGAGCCGGGGCCCTCGTCTGAAATGATCAGGAAGCCCCAGCGAGTGCGGCCGAGCCTTCAGAGCAGGCCGAGTGGCTCTGCGCCAGGCTTGTCCAGAGCGCCAGGCTGGGGTTCATCCCCAGCACCACCAGAGCCCCATCCAGAAGACAGAAGCCCCCAGGGACCTGGGTGACTGCTGCTGGGGCCAGGAACTCTCCAAGGGAGGGCGCTAGAGGGGCACACTGCACCGCTGGCCCAGGGGAGCACCTCACGCCATGGGGGTTTCTTCCACTCATTTTGTGAAACCCAAACACGAGATCACAGAGGAGACCTGCAGGAGGACTGACAGCCTTCTGCTGCCTTGCTCTCTCCTTTACTGATGCACAGGCTACAGAGGTGGTCCTCACGACGCCTATCTTTATGTGCAAAGGAAAAAAGTATTAGATAGTGGTGTGTGTGTGTGTGTGTGTGTGTGCATGTGTGTGAAGGTGTATGTGTGACAGTGTCTGTAGGCATGCATGAGTGTGTGCACATGTGTGAAAGTGTGTGCATGCATGTGTTAGCATATGAAAGTGGATGTGAATATGTGTATGCCTGTGTGTATATGTGTGCAAGTGTGTGTGCGTTTGGGGGGTGTGAGTGAATGTGTTAGTGTGAGAGTGTGAGCACACGTGGGAGTGCATGAATATGAGTATGTGAATGTGAACATATGTGTGACAGTGTGTGAAAATGGATATGTTACTGCATGCAGATGTGCGTGATTGTGGGCATGTGTGAGTGTGTGTGCAAATGTGTTCATGTGCATATGAGTGGGATTGGTTGTGTTTGTGAGTGTGAGTACATGAAATTGTGTGTGAGTGTGTGTGTGAGTGCACGTGTGTGGGCGTGTATGTGCATGGGTGTGTAGGCATATAACAATCAGAGCCACTTTTCACGTGCTGAATGCCTGCATCGGGTCTGCTGGATGCCTTTGTACATATGATTTTATTTAACTTCCGTGATTCCCTTTTGGTTTAGGTATCATTAACCTGAGTGCAATGATGCGATGTTTATTAAGTAATTTTAACTATGATCACATATTTAGCAGATTTTAGCCACAAGATGTGTAAGACCCTGCCCTTAAACAGATGGTCATCTTACAGGGTGGATGTGTGATCTTTGTCTAAATTGCTGGGGGACGTAAAACAACATAACTAAACAAATGTCAACATAGCTAAACGAAATAAAGGAAACTTATTCTCTTTAGTTATACCAAAAATTGGAAATCATTCTTGAAAGTTACATGCATTTATTTAGCTAATTGGCATTTTTAAAAGGATCTGCAGAATGTCAGTCGTGGACAGTGTGCAGAACCTTGGGAAGGAGTGAATGCAGGATGAGTGAATTCTAGATCTTAGCAGGGAAGTTTGCAGGAGCCTGCATTTAGCCTGAGATGATTCCGTGCGTCCCAAGTCAGAAGTGTGCGGATTCTTTGCTGAAGGATGCCTGCCTCTGTGGCCAGCCACCCTACGGCCGCACAGACACTGGCTGTCACTGCAGTGGGAAGCCACGGGAGACTCCAGGCTTCGGATCTGCATCAAAAACGGGTCCTCTAAAGCCCGTGGTCTCAGAGTTCACTTTTAGGTGAAGGCTTCCGGATTTAACAGAAGTAGCTATAAAGCTTTTCTGTGAGTCAAGTGGACTTGTTGGAATGGTTAGCAATCCCCACCCACTTTGGTGGGTATGTGTCTGGTCACAGGGGAGCCAGGGGAGCTTGTTGGAATGATTAGCCACCTCCTGTTGGTATGAGTGTGGTCACAGGGGAGCCAGGGGAGCTTGGTTAGCCGCCTCCCACGAGTGTGTTTGGTCACGGGTGTTTCATTTATTATCTTGAAAATTTTGACCCCAATGTTGTCTGTATATCCATGTTATTCTTCCCCATCTATTGCAAATGATCCATTGTGGTATTTCCTGTGTGTGTGTGTGCACACGCATACACACACACACACACACACTCTTCAGGTGGTTGAAATAGCTGTCATAAATATAAATCTAAACAAATATTAGACCTTAGACTTTCCAGAAAATTTATTTCTAATAGCACTAAATTTTCTTTTTTCTTTGACACTTTCACATAATATTTATTTAATATTTTGATAAGAAAAAAATAACCAAAATATTAAGCCAAAATCTCAAACTAAGACACAGATAACCCAGGGCAATTTCAGAAAAATGAGCCTCGGCTGAAGGCCTGGGCCTGCTCTCTCCACAGGCTCTGTGTAGGGGCTCTGGGCTACCTGGGCTCAGTTTTATCCTTCTGAGCCTCAGCTTTAAACTGTGAAATTAAAGGCTGACGGAGATGCTCTCTAATATGCTTCATCTCATTCTCATTGAAAACTATGTGGGAAACACTTGCATTATATAACTGTAGATCCATGCTCTTTAACACTGGTCAAAAGAAGGCCCTTGATTTAGTGATTTGCAAGGCCTTTCTTGATCCAGTGCATCCGTTGAGCATGGGGTTGTTGGACATGCCACTCTACCCTACTCTCTGCTTCACACTGTAACTCAGATTCACTTAAGCTTTTTTACTTTGTTTTGGTTTGGGTTTTGTCTCACAGCAGACACATCTGCATCAGAATTTGTAAATTTTTTTTTTAAGTATAAGGAATTTTCCCCACATCTTAGTTTTTAAAAAGACCTTCATTTGTCTTACTTCTTGCGTTGTCTCTCTAGTAAAAAGAAGATATGCATGTCTTGTAGGATTCTGCCTTCTGCCCCAGATCTGTTTCCTGTCTCCTGTATTTTAGTTTCTTAGGGCTTTTTTTCTGACAGATAATTTATAAAATACGAAATTTGATGTTATAGATGCATTGATGATTTGGGGTAAACTGTCTTTTGTATCAGTCTGTTTTCTATTACTATAACAGAATACCAGATGCAGTCTAACTTTTAAAGAAAAGAGGTCCAGTTAGCTCACAGTTTTGGAGCCTGAAAGTCCAAAACGCATGGTGCCAGTTCTGGAGAGGGCACCCTGGCCTCATCTGCCTCATGTTGGGGGTACATTTGAGAGAAAATGATCACCTGGTGAGGCAGGAAATCAGAGAGACCAGGAAGGCCTGTTTTCTCTTTTAACATCCCCCATGAGACCTAAGTGGGGTCCCAAGAGGCCCACTTCACCCCTTCCCAGGGTGGTGCCCCCAGAGCCTGCCTCTGGGTCCTAGCTCTTAAGGGCCCACCCACCCAGCGCCCACACCACCCCACCCAGTGCCAATCCGGGACTGAGTCACCAGCATGGGGGCCTGTTGGGGGCACAGGCCCCCCTGGGCAGGACGTCCCCAGGCTTTAAGGGAACAAACCTGGAGGGGGATCAATGAGACCCCGAGGAGCTCTGGGACCTGGGCCACACCAAGCTTTCTCACGAATCTCGACATGGGAGCCACTGCGAGGTGACTTTGGTGTGGGGGAGAGTGTCTTCCCCTTCCTGCTCCGTTCCCAGGGGACCAGGCAGCTGAGGCACCATGCTCCCGAACACCCTGAGGACACATGGACTGGCTGGGCTGTCCTGGGTGGCGGCCTTGACCTCCAGACTCACCTTGCACAGTACCCCTATGTTTTCCTGCATAAACACTCTGTTCAGAGGTCCCGTCACTGGATACCTGCATATGGGTGTTTTATTCAGACCCACCTCCATGATGATGATGATGATGACGGTGATGATTGGTACGGGGGATGGAACCCAGGGGCACTTTGCCACTGAGCTAAGTCTCGGCCCTTTTCATTCTTTATTTCAAAACAGGGCCTTGCTAAGTTGCTGGGGCTGGCGTGAACTTGTGATCCTCCTGCCTCAGTCTCCTCAGAGGCTGGGCCTCCAGGCCTGTGCCACACACAACTCCATTTTCCCATACCTTCCTTAAAATTTGAGAGTGTGTCTTATGCCACACCCCTGAAATTCCATTAACAGTGTTTATGTTTTATTAAATTAAAAAAATAAAGAGCAAGCCATACTGCTGTAAACATCAGCTGCATCTCTTTCATTTCCTGCAGCGGTGTCCTGTGGCCTCCCAGAATCCCCAGGGAACGGCTCCTTCACGGGCAGCGAGTTCACGCTGGACAGTAAAGTGGTGTACGAGTGCAACGAGGGCTTCCAGCTGGCCGCCGGACAGCCCGCCACCGCCGTGTGCCAGGAGGACGGGATGTGGAGCAACCGCGGGAGGCCGCCGGCCTGTCAACGTGAGTGTCCCAGTGTCCAGGGCGTCGCGGGCAGGTGCGATGGGCCCCTGCGACCGCGTTCCCAGGCGCAGGGTTGATTCTCTACAGACCGCGCCCCGGAGCTGAGCTGTGCCCTGGGCAGCCACCCCTGAGCCCGCAGGCTCTGACTGCCCCAGGCCGCGGACGGCCCACCAGCCCTGACCCAGGCAGCCCTCAGGGTGGGGAGGGGACGTCTAGGGGACACAGGGGCCCAGGACCCAGCGCCAGCCCCGCACGTGAGGTCTGAAACAGCGGTCTCCTCCTTAGCTCCGCGAGGGCCGAGGAATCCAAGGCGACTGTCCACCCACCCAGCCACCCCCAGGCCTGTGGAGGCGCTGATTGTAAAGGAAGCTCTGCAGCCTGCGGGGTATTCTCCAAGGGTCGGGGTCTGGATCCAGGGTGACCTCCAGCCTTAGCCAAGAGTAGAGCCACGCAGTGCAAAAGTGCACGTGGGCGCGCACACACGCAAACACATGCGCACACACGTGCACGCACGCACACACGTGCGCGCACACACACACATGCGTGCACACACACCCACACACGCATGCGCCTACGCACACACACACGTGTCCTCCTCACAATGCTCAGCCCAGGTATACTGAACAGGCCTCGATTTGTAAACAGTCTCCCCTTCCCGCGCCCCACACTGCAAACTCACTTCCTTACACGGGTGTTAATTTGCTGGAATGCCATTAGTACCAGAGGTCCCCTGGTGTCCCATCTCAGAGGCAGCTCATTGGCCTCTCGCTGCAGACCTGGGTCATGCTGCCCCTTTTCAGCTCTTGGGCTGTGAGCCCTAAGTGCTCCTGGGAGACAGGCGACTTCCCGCAGGTCCTGACACCTTCTCCCAAGGTCCGCACCTTATCTCACGTCCTGGAGTCAGGGGTGTTGAAAGCGCGCCCTGTGGCTACCGCATGGCGTGGTTTTACCTCAAGTGAACCTGGGGAGTGGCAGCCACAGACTTTGCCACCGTGTTCTTAGCTCCACCTGGACAAAATCACCCTCTGGAAACAGGAGCTGTCCCTGACAGGGCCAACTGGTGAGGAGGAGTCCAGGAATCAGGAAGGTTCACCTGCACAGCACAGCGGCCAGCTCCCGCCACTGCTCTGGGAGGCTCACAGAGCTCACCTGGGAGTCTCCCCAGATCCCCACGTGGGCACCGGCGGCCTCACAGAGGAGGCAGCGCCACCACCTCTAGGTCTGAACCGGAGTCCTCTCCTTTACCAGGGTCCCCCCACCCGCTGGCACCCACAGCTGCAGAGAGCTCTGGGGTGTCGAGGGTCCACTAGTGCCTGAGCCCCTGGTCTCAGTGGGGACCAGGCTCCTGTTTCTTAGCTTTCTCCCTCCCTCCCTCCCTTCCTTCCTGTCTCCCCTCTATCCTCAGTCCCTGTCCCTCCCTCCCTTCCTTCCCTCTTCCTCCCCCTCTTCCCTCCTCCCTCCCTCCCTTCCTTCCCCTCTTCCCTCCT